GCCATGATGTTGATCTGTTGTTCAAACTTCAAACTTCTTCTAATTTCTCAACCCTAACAAGCATATCGTAGAAGGCGGTTAATTAATTGTTTCCTTGCAAGTGACAGTGCATCTGCCTGAGAGGTGAGGAACCAACAATCTGCATACAGATGAGCCAGATCTGTTAAAACGGATGTACATGCAAAACTCAATTCTGGAGCAAAGCCAAAGTCCAAAAAATGATTAACAACCAGAACTTTCCACCAAAGTTTGCAGAAAAAGAAGAACTATAAGGATATATTCATTCAAAAATTTTTTTTTTTAAATTGAAAAACTGTCAATTTTTACAGAATTTCAGATTTTTATGGGACTAGAGTGTTAAGAAGACATTTACAGTAACTGGAAAGATTTAATCAGAGAAGAGATAGAGTTCTGGAGAAGATTACTGACTTCTTTTTATTCATGGCATGGAAAGGTGTCCCCAATATTAGTGTGAATGGCTAGTCATATTACATATACTTTTTTTTTCTCCAAAATTCTTGGCCTTTGAGGTTTTCTGCTACAGATCACAACTGCCTCTATTCACCTCTGTGACTAACCTTAACTTTCTAGTTGGTGACCCCAAGTGTGCGTTAAGTCTGTCTGTATATTATCTCTCCATCAACTTCTTGGTCTGCCTCGTGGTCTACTTCTATTCAACCATTTTCTGTAAGTTGTTTTTGTTTCTCTGTTATCTGCTATTCTTTCTATACGCCTCAAACAATGTAGTCTGTTAGTGATGATTTACTATACGCCTCAAACAATGTAGTCTGTTAGTGATGATTTAAACAGCATCTGAATATCTTTGTTGCTTCTCACCATCCATTCTTGGCTATTTGCATCTTTCATAACTCCAAAGACCTTAGGACTGTTCTAAAAATGTTTGTAATAAGATTACATTCACTAGATTAAAGAATTATTTGGTGGAGTGAATAGTTCACTTTGACCCATTCAGAGCATAAATACACAGAAACAACAGCTCACCTATACTTCTATCACCAGAAGTTGACTGTGCAACAACATGGCCACTTGATGGCACCTGGCCACTAGCAGGTACCTGGCCACTGGCAGCTATGCTCATCTCCAGAGTGTCCAGATTGGCTTGTTCTCGCTTTCTCTGGAAACAAAAGGCATTTTTAAAATAATGCAAAATACTAATCAAAACAATGATTCCCCATTGTAACCAGGCAATCACAGGTCCAACATCACAACAAACTGATTTGCAGCGTGGCAACCGAAAATGCTGAGCATGTGCTTCAACACTGTCAACTGTATGCTGACAACAGAGGCACAATCTGGCCTGTTCCAACCACAATGAAGACAAAACTGTATGGTACACGAGAGGATATGGATTGCACGATAACTTTCATAAAGGCTACCGGCCTCCTAATATAAGTTTTAAGACAGAAGGATCAAAGAAGAAGACAGCATACTAGCTCTGCTCCTGTGCCAATAAAAACCACACCAAACGCTCATCGCTCTCCCTAAAAAAAATGGACACAGACTGCAGTCTCGACAAATCCCATAGTATACACATGCAGTGCATTTATAAGCCAGCCAACACAAACAGTCCGACACTAGAAATTCAATTCGTCATCAAGCAGCAGTTACAACTAATCAGTAGTTGCACACACAATTAATTAGGTAAGGCACCAGTGGTCACTCACCATTTTCTCAATCTACAGTTCACAATGATTGAGGTCACGGGGTCTTCTTTATGGAGCAGAATGCTGAAGAATGACCAAAAAGGATGCACACAAGCTTTCCACCTTCCACCACACTTGTCTGCGTAGAATTATCAAAATCTTCTGGCCAGATACAATCTCAAACACTAAACTACTTCAAGTCACAAACTAAGAAACTTTAGACAGTATGATTACCAAGAGAAGATGGAAATGGCTTGGCCACGTTATGAGAATGAATCCTGATTTACCCGCCAAAACAGCTCTCACAGGGTTACCAGAGGAAAAGAGAAAAAAGCAGCGCCCAAAAACAACATGGAGACGAACGATGGAAAGTAACCTGAGTGTGGCATCTTTGACATGGAAAACTGCACTGAAGATTGCACAGGACAGGAAAGCATGGAAAGTCCTCTCTGAAGCCTCATGTGCCACTAGGCATAACCAGAACTGACTGACAGGGCCATGGCACCAGTCGCTGTACATTTGGGGGGGGGGTTGTTTTAGGCCATAAGGAATGCATTCCATGTAATGCTCCACACTGTTCTTGTTTATTGATTACCCCTTTAATTATCATTATATTTTTTGGATGGGAGTCCCCGTGGCGGAGCGGCTAGACACTTGCCCAGATCCGAAGGTCGTGGGTTTGCTCCCTGACGGAGCCGGACTTTTAAAAAAAAAATGACCAACAAGTACATCGATACGAGCGTTCAAAAGGGTGGTATCCCGGGCGTTCCTGGGTGCCTTGAACACGTGACCATAATTTGGGAGTCTATTCAGAGAGCTAAGCATGAGAGAACTCAGTTGCACATGATATGTGCTGGATCTCGCCAACGCCAATGGGGCAGTTCCCCATAGGCTACTGTGGCGAGCCCTTCGCATGTTCCACGTACCGGCACAGATCAATGGTATGATCGAGCAATATTTCTCTAAGTTCGCTTTGCGCTTCTCTACCTCGACGTTTACCATGAGGTGGACTGAGCTACAAGTTGGGATATCTATGGGGTGTACGATCTCACCAATACTGTTCGTCATGGCCATGCAGATCGTGTTGGACGGGGCGGCCGGCTACGGACAGGGCCTTCAAATTGGGGATCACTGGATGCCTCCACTACGTGCCTTTATAGATGACATAACTATTATCACGGGCAGTGAGGAATCTGACCGCACGATCCTAAAAAGATTGGACGAGGTGGTCCAATGGAGCGGTATGCAGTTCAAACCGCAGAAGTCAGGGAGTCTGTCAATCCTTAAGGGTCGGGTGGCGGCAAGCAGTTTTACGGTGGCAAGGAATAAGATTCCCACGGTTCTGGAGGAACCGGTGAAGAGCCTCGGTCGCGTTTACGATTCAAGTTATCTGATAGAGGGGAGGTCAGGCGAATACACGAGTCACTGGCTACAGGCCTGCTCGCGATCGAGCGTAGCAGGCTGATCGCGAAGTTCAAGGTATGGTGTCTCCAATTCTTGTTGATTCCAAAGCTCCTCTGGCCACTGTTAGTCTACGAAGTGACAATGACTGCAGTGGAAACCATGGAGAAAAAAAATCAACACAGCCTTAAGAAAGTGGATTGGTGCACAGCCTTGTCTGACTGACGTGACTCTGTATTGTAAGCAGGCTAAGCTTGGACTCCTGATCAAATCGATAACCGAAGAGTTCAAAGTGGGCAAGGTAAGACTCGCCATGCTCTTGCGCGAGTCTTCAGACCCAAATGTCATCGCTGTCCAGCCTGCTCTAAATACTGGTCAGAAATGGAGAGTCCTCGATGCGATCGAATCTGCCCAGAATGCACTAAAATTGAAGGAAGTATTAGGATACACTCAAACCTACCGTCAAGGCCTAGGTCACGGGAAGGTCAATTGGTGGTCCAAAGCCACAGCCAAAGAACGCAGAGACATCGTAATACAACAAGTTAGGGACAACGAAAACGAGGTTCGTTTCCAGAAAGCAGCCCAGCAGTCGCAGTAGGGCCATTGGGTCAGCCTGGAGAGCGCATTGCCAAGAGTACTCACATGGGGTGAGATCGGCGTACGATGTATTACCGTCCGGTGTTAACATGGTTAAGTGGTCTGCGACTAACGATCCGACTTGCCCGCTGTGCAAAGCGAAGCAGACGCTAGAACATGTTCTGTCCGCATGCAGGAAAGCCCTAGGTCAAGGCAGATACACTTGGCGCCACAACAAAGTGCTAAAAGAGTTTGCAGCTGTTGTGGACCAGGCTAGGATGAGGGCTAAGGCTAGAGCCAGTTCTAGCATCGTCCCCATTCGTTTCCTCAAGGCTGGGCAGGTTCCAAAATGTAAGATCAACCAAGGCGCATTCGCTCCATCTATGCTAGACTCTGCGAGGGACTGGTTACTGGCGGTTGATCTGCCGAGCCATGAAAGGTACCCTGAGTCAATCCGGTAGACCGGCCTGCGACCTGACATAGTTCTCCACTCTACGGAGAAACGGAAGCTCATCCTGATTGAGCTGACCGTCCCGTATAAGTCGCATATGGACGAAAATCACATGTATAAGCTCGAGAAATACTGTGATTTAGCAGCCGGTCTGAAGAGAGGCGAGGCGTACACAGTACCTGTCTTTGCCGTCGAAGTGGAAGCGAGATGTCTCGTCTCCACTTCACTCTACAATGTGGTTAAAGAACTAGGATTGCGCGGTAATGAACGGAAACGGACACTTAAACGGCTGGGCGAGGTTGATAAGAGGGCCTCGAGCTGGCTCTGGATGCAAAGGAACAACGTAGGGGACGGGCCTCGGTGAGCTGGTCTGGGTGTCTAGTGGAAAAGGGTTTCTCTCCCTTGAAAGTCCATCGTGTCCGAATTGTCTGCCAGTGTTCCTCTGCCACTTGCTAACAAAAGTCCAACATGTGTCCGGTATACCAATCGTAAGCTTGTCGCTCGGTCATCCAGGTATGCAGACTGCTCTAATTATGCTACCTCGACGACTTCTTATCTCACAGTACCTTCTGCAAAATCACCAAGTCGTCTTGTCCCTATCCGAACAACATCCGGTAATTTCATGCAGAAGGGAAACCAACCCTGAGCTTCATGAACTCAGGTGGGCCCACTCTCTGAAAACGTCGAGGAGCTCGTGGGCCGAAACGTTTTTCGACGAGGATAACTTTTACTGATGACTGGTAGATCCCTGCTGTACTTGCTCCCCTGTGGAGTTTATTCCTACCTATTTGACTTTCACAATGTAACTGACACAAGAAATACACAAATAAAGAAAGGACTATACTATTTGACTTTCACAATGTAACTGACACCAGAAATACACAAATAAAGAAGAGTGACTCTCTCACCTGAATAGCCAAGGCCTGCTGAGGTGTTAATGACCAGTGTGAAAGAGGATCATACAATAACACCTGGACAATGGTCAGCAACGATTCTGAATTATTTTTCATCACCTCCATTGTCTTCTCACAACACCTGAAATAAAGTGAAATATCCACCAGTATGGGTACCCAGGAGTCACAGTGGTGAAGCAGCTAGATGCTTGCCTGAGCATCGGAAAGTCATGGATTTGGGTCCTGATGGAGCCTGACTTTATTTTTTAAATATTTTTTTTTGGGGTAATAACCTCGGCGGCCAGGTCCACCGAGCTTTGAGTGGGTACCAGGTGCAGTCCTGGGAAGTAAAGGCGGTCAGCGTGATGCTGACCACCCCCCCTACCAAATGCCAATTGGTCTATAAAACATAGGATTTAGCCCTATATGCCTGAAGGGGTGAAAGGTGTCCTTTACTTTTACTTATGGGTACTCTCTGGTGGTTTCTGATGTGGGAATGCCCCGTGTGCAATGATGTCAATTCTTGACTGACTGACTGATTCATTCATTCATTCAAACAAAAACATTTTCACAAAAAGAAACTGCAGAAAATATTTACTATATCTTCAGTGTCTCTTCTTCTCCTTAGTGTTTCCCCAGCTGTAAACCCCTGCAGGAAGTTCTAGTTGTTGTCCACTTCTGGACTTTGGTCTTGTTCCAAAAGACATTTTAAGCTGCCAAACATGTAGATCCATTGAATACTTCTTTTATGATAAGTTCAAAAACGCCATTATTAGCATTGTTGACATGTATAAACTACTAGTATCAACAGTTACAGGACAGAGAAGATGGTGAGATCATGAAAATATTCTGTGAAGAGACAAATAACAAATAGGCAATAAAATTGGAAATTGATGGATTATCGAAATGAGGCGGTCCAAAAGAATTCTAAAGTGACAGATGATAAGAGTGTTATCGAAGTGATTACACAAGACAGAACTGAATGGAGAAACCCTTGTGACATACAATGGCAGCACATTAGGACAATGAATGAATGTTTGGGTGTGTGAGGGTGGTGTGTTTGTGCGTGCATGTGTGCGTGCGCACGCGCGCGCATTTTCAATACTCGCACCCACCCATCCACACTCACTCACTCACTCACACATATACATACATACATACATACATACATACATACATACATACATACATACATACATACATACATACATACATACATACATACATACACGCACGCAAAATACACATCAAGAAATGGAAAACAAGAGTTCTTTACTCCACAGATTGAAGCCACCCATTAGCAGACCACATCAAAGACTCACCTTCGAAACACACCTTCCACACCAGTGATTCCCATTCCATCAACTATGTCTCTGGTCAGGCGGAACGGCACAGTTTCTGGTGTAGGCAGGATGCGCCCTTGCTCAAACGCAATACCTGAAACATGTTAAATCAGGCCCAGAGTATTAGAAATGTCTTTAAAAAATGCTGTCTTAACAAATGGCAATACCTGGAGAATGTTGAATCAGGCCCAGAGTATTCAAAATGTTGTCTTTAAAAAAAAATGGTCTTAACAAATGGCAATACCTGGAGAATGTTGAATCAGGCCCAGAGTATTAAAAATGTTGTCTTTAAAAAAAAATGGTCTTAACAAATGGCAATACCTGGAGAATGTTGAATCAGGCCCAGAGTATTAAAAATGTTGTCTTTAAAAAATGCTGTCTTAACAAATGGCAATACCTAAAACATGTTAAATCAGGCCCTGAGTATTAAAAATGTCTTTAAAAAAGTTGTCTTAACTAATGGCAAAACCTGGAGCATGTTAAATCGAGCCCAGAGTATTAAACATTTTGTCTTCAAAAAAGTTGTCTAAACAAATAGCAATACCTGGAGCATGTTAAATCGAGCCAAGAGTATTAAAAGTGCTGTCTTTAAAAAAAGCTGTCTTAACAAATGACAATACCTGGAGAATGGTAAATCAGGCACTGAGTATTAAAAATGTCTTTATAAAAAGTTGTCTTAACAAATGGCAAATCCTTGAGCATGTTAAATCAGGCCTTGAGTATTAAAAATGTCTTTTTAAAAAGTTGTCTTAACAAATGACAATACCTGGAGAGTGTTTGTTTAATCAGGCTCAGAGTATTAAAAATGTTGTCTTTAAAAAATGTTGCCTTAACAAATGGCAATACCTGGAGAATGTTGAATCAGGCCGAGTAGTAAAAATGTTGTCTTTAAAAAAAGTTGTCTTAACAAATGGCAATACCTGGAGCATGTTAAATCGAGCCCAGAGTAAAGTTAGTTAGTGAAAATAATAAGGATCAGAGTAAACAATAACAATAACAAAGTTACTAGCAGACTTTATCTGACTCATTAATTTTTGCTTTCCACGCATCTATGAAGCATAGGATTCATTTTTATGCTTCATTATATATTGATCTGGCAGGCGCCCTAGCGTAGTGGCCAGATGCTCGCCTGCGGATCAGAAGGTTGTGAGTTCGGGTCCTGACAGAACCAGGCTTTTTTTAAAAATGACTTTTGTGGCGCTGTGATTTCTGTCACAGGCATGAGGTAAAGTTAAGCCCAACGTGATGTGTATAAGGAGTTACTCCGTACATCATTCGGGCACCAGTCCTGCACTCTTCTGGTTTTACTGAACCTCATGCAAGACTCATGCAGCACGTCCTCGTCGTGCGCCACGGATAATGTATCAAATGAGCATTAACAGAGCTGTCATGGGATCTCGGAGTTGGCAGCCCCTAGAGGTGTAGTGTCCTTGTGGCTCTCATCAGCCCGCCCCCAAACGCATGGGTGAAAAGCTTATCAAAACTCATTAGGAACATGAGTAAAGTGCTTGTCAAACGTACAACTAAAATGACAACCTTCGGTTAAAAGTTTGTGGGGTGAAGAGAACATTGCGTTGCTGAGACTCAACCCTTGACCTAGAGATTTACCCGCAGCACAGACGAGTAACATCTCCTGTTGGTGGCTTCTCGCAGCTAGATTCTACCCATGTACATCCTCTGTCAACCCTCAGTGTCGTCGCCACAGCGCTGAGGTGCACCATGACAGCAACCATCCATCGGTCAGTTAAGCCCAAATGTCTGACAAAAATTGATCCTACTGCACACGAGCAAGCTCAAAATTCGACCATCATAAATCGTATTGACTGGAAAAAGTCCAAATGTCCACATCCCGAGACCCCACTTGCTCGAGTGTTGGGACCAAACAGATAAAGACATGCCTGACTTATGATTCTCCATTCTGTCGTGCTAACAGCACGCTAAAAGTGACAATCATGCAACGAAAAATATAGTACCTATTCGTGTGGTCACAAAAGTCCAGAACCCATAGACTGCTTCCCGCTGATCTCCGAAGGGCGCAGCCCGTGATGAGCGGGAAGCCTAATACGGTTGTGAGGTTAAGCAGTTATGTGCAGGTCGTGACGATTCCTTGGGTGAGCCCAGGACCAGAGCATTATGTGCCGGCTCTGCATTTATGGAAGCCTCCTTGGATGGCAGGAAATGCCCATGATCTGCCCCTGCCTTCCCTTGAGGGCCAACCGTTTCACACAAGGCTGTCCCAAATGGAGTACTTCGGGGTCAACACCTGTTGAGAAAGGGACAAAGAGGACACCACACAAATAAGGTCACATCTCGATCAACAAAAAAAATGGCCAGTCATCCTAGAAATAGGCCTGATGTCTTCCCTTGAAGTCGAAGTACATCTGCCCGTGAGGCAGGGAACGGCAAAAGCCAGTAAAACGGTTGTACACACAAAACTCAGGTCCAGGTAAAAGCCAAAAGTCCAAGCGGACGATTAACCGGGACCTTCCGCCGGAATTCACAGCCGGTGAATGAAGAAGAAGAAGAAAATGACTTTGGCTCCCAGGTCGGCCCAGAATTGAGTGGGTACCAGGTAAAAGTCCTGGGAAGTAAAGGTGGCCAGCATGATGCTGACCATATCACCCACCAAGTGCCAATTGGTCTATAAAATATAGGTCTAGCCCTATATGCCCAATACGCCTGAAGGCGTGGAAGAGGGTCTTTTACTTTTTATGTTGATTTAATTCTATAAAAATGCAACTAGCGAGATGCAACTACATATGCCAGGCAATAAACTCTACAATATATTGTTTTTGTCCACATTATTAAAATTTACAACGGGAAACATTGTTTTGAACTCACAAAGTTGTCGAAATCAATGCGAAGCAGCCTGCTGCCAAATTACCAGTGGCTGAATTGAACTCAGCAGGTCAGAATTATGGTCTGCATTCATAATCCTGAAATTCCATGCTGTGTGGCTTTGGTAGTCATGTCTATCCACAGCCTTCTGTCTCATGTATTTTCAATCAACTCTGATTTGGATGACCCTCCCTACCATGATGTCAAACTGTCCAGCATCTTTTCTCTTGGTTTCCCTCTGCCTCTCCTCTACTCATACTTTCACGATGTACTCCAGTTTTCTCCTTCACATCACATGACTAAAGAATGTAGAATGTCTCTATCTGATGTGGGCAATCAGTTCTCTTCATGAGTCAGTTTCTTTCAAGACATCTTCATTACTCATTTTTACTGTCCAGGGTATTCTCATAATTCGACAATAAATAAATAAACGCTGCAGATTTACATTTGTAAATATGAATAGTGTTAGCTGATCACAATTCTATGCTCAACTGGTACCATCATAAATGGAAATCTGCACTGGCTGCTAAAGAAGGGACAAAGCGCTTATAGTAAATATTAAACTAGTGGCCCGAGGGCCAGTCTGGACCAAGGAGGCCAAGCAAGTATCCCAGGGTTCACTGGCAGCTGTACTGTGTTAATGATCTTTCTATCTAGGGCTCAGAACTTCTGGCCTATGACGACCCCCATTAAAAAAATGTGTGCCCTAGAGTTAACTTAGTTGAATATGCCCCGGCTTATAGGAATGTCCCAACTTATGTGGTATCAGTTTTTTCTTCTTCTTTTACTCAACCTAACTGCTCCACTGGGAGATACAAGACAGAAATAGTCGCAAATGCATTGTCCTTAAGAAAGAGAAAAAGGGGCTTTTGAGCTGAAATGCCATAAACAGATTTTCAGAATATCTTGGACAAAGAAAAGGAGAAATACTAACATTTTAAAAGATCTGAACATCAAGGAAGATTGGCTAATAAACAGCATCTTGTCTCGGAAGCTGAAATATTTTGGTCATATTCAAGAGCCACGACGGATTGGAAAAAATAATAGCAGAAGGCATGGTACCAGGAAGGAGGGTAAGGAGGGGGGGGGGGGTGGGGGGGGGGGAACAACACGAAGATGGGCACAGGATATGAGTGACTCCTTGAGTATGAAAGTGCAGGAGGTGGGAGAGCTGGCGAGAGACTGAGTTTCTTTCAGGCAAACGTTGATGAGAGCGACGTTCTGCAAAGGACCTGCTACATGATGAGTTGCAAATTAACATACTTACCGAGGTCAATATGAACAACTTCAGCTGACTGTAGATCAATGAGAATATTCATGAGGTGACGATCTCCAAGACCTAGGATGTATCCAACTGAAATATTCAGGAATAGAGTCGTTCAAATTCTGACTGGACATTTGTCAAATGTGATCAAAGACTACATTATCGCATACTTTAGGGCATTTTAACTAAGTTTTCACACAAAATGGCAGTGTAAACAACAGTTGAATAAACATCAAAGACATTTAATGAAAATTAAATGCATTTGAAAACAAATGCGTGAGGAAAATCATGAAAATAAAATGGGATGAATTAAGAAATGGATGAGGAAATAAGAGAAATGTTTGGGCAACCACTAGTATCCTCAGTTATGAGACAGAGAAGATGGCACTATGGCGGACACATCCTGAGAAAAAAACCAGCAGAGAATCACCAAACAGGCAACCAAGTGGGAAATAGGGATTGAGGAGGTGAGGACGCCAAAAAGAACCCTAAAACAAACACTGATAAGACAGGCCAGGACTGCATGCCATCCATGATACTGCACAGGACACAACAGAATGGAGGAATAGGCTGTGAGCGCTATGTGACACATAATAGCATAACAGGACAATGAATGAATCATTACGGTCTGAGGAGAATGGCGCTACGAGGAATTACTAGGGGATGTGGCTGACGCTCAACACTCAGGGAAAGGATGAGACGGATATACAATCAGACGGCTACTGGTGCCATCGGAATTGGAACTCTTCGCTTGCTGCTGAAGATGGGGGACTGAGCACTTATGAGAGTGTCCCGAGTGCTGTGATGTTGATTCTTAATTCAACAATGAATGAATTAAATAACAGGAGTAATTTCTTGTGTGATTTCAAAATGGATTAAAAAGGGTTACTGTTTTGATAGATTGTACAGTTAGAAATGATTCTAGGACAGGCTCAGCAAGACACAAGAGGATTCAATTTCTCAAACATTTATCCTTAAGAATAGGAGAAAATAATCAGAAACAGATGGGTTAATAGATACCACAGAAATGCAATATGACATTAATTCAAGCTACACAACTAGCAGAGATAGACAGGAAGTTACATCTAACTCCTCTCTGTGACGCTTCATGGCATAAGCTGTAGAGGAAAAGAAGATTATTTAGGGGCCAAAATGTTACAAATAGGTATCGTCATGGGCCAGAGACCCGAGCATAAAAGGATCCTTAATACAGTCCTTTTTCTTCTTCTTCTTCTCTTTCACCTTGTACCTCATCGAAGTGTTGGGGGGAGATGTAATGTTCGTTGATGAGCTCTGTCAAGAGCACTATTGAGATTGATGTTCATTTCTGTAAGGCTGTTCTTAATGCCATCACTCCATATTTTCCGAGGTCTTCCACTCGCTCTATACCCGTTGTAACGTTTTAGTGTGGCTCGCTGTGGCGGATAGTACCAGGGCATTCTTGTTAGGTGTCCAAACCACTTCATTTGTTGTTCTTTGATGACCTGTAAGACTGGCTTTATTCCTAGCATTCGTCTGATTTCATTATTTCGTATTGTCTTTCCTTGAAACTCCAGCAGCTCTTCTAAGGCATTTAATCTCTGTTGTCACAATTTTACTTTCATTGGAGGATGTAAGTGTCTACGTTTGGCATTGAAAGCATAGTGTTGGCAAAAAAATAGTTCTGATAAGATTCACTTTAGTACTCTTGATTAGCTTTGGCACATCTGGAGCTAATTTCTCTGTCCAGTTTTCCGTCTGATGTAAAAATTGCTCCCAAATACTTAAATTCCTCTGTTTGTCTCAAGGTGTTGTTTTTTAATTTAATTTCTAAATTGTCTTTAATACAGTACAACTGGCAATGGTCCACGGTCCACTTGCTAGGCTTCTGGAGACTGCATTCAGCCCACAAGCCACCAATTGAATATCCCAGACACAAATGTATACATGCACAGACACTCATTAAGACAGATACATACACTGAAAAAGACACTCATTAAGACAGATACATACACTGAAAATTGGACACAAATGATACAGGTATTGAGATTGTTTTGTAGAAACAGGTTTGCCAGCAAAACGTTCAGCCCATCCTTTTCAGGAAATTGCAAACCAGCTACATCATTTGTTGGCTGTTTCTGGTTTTACTAGGCATTTTATCTTCAATAGTTTGCCATTGCTTTCTGTAAAATCGACACTCATATCGATGTCAAAATTAATGCAAAATGGCCTGCTGCCAAGTCACCAGTAGCTGAATCAATGTAGGATTATGCGCTGAAATTTATAATCACTCAGACACCGGTTTATATGTCAGTTTTCAGAATCACATCACATAGAGGGAAAACATCTGAAAGCATCAAAAAAAAAAAAAAAAAAAAAAAAGACTAAAGAGAAGATACTGCAGTTGGGTTAATAGCTCAGTATCTGAGGAGGCATTTATCAAGTGCATGTGGAAATACTGGTCCTTCAATCTCATGCCATTGCTGCGGAAGACTTTTCTGTTCCACCTGCACACACTGTACAAGAGACAAAGCTCAACATCTTCTTCCCACAGCTAAATTATAAAAAAAAAAAAAAAAAAAAAAAAAGAGTGCCATTGCTACCTGTGTTTACCACTTTTGCACCTGACGATATTGGGGCGCATGGCTAGTGCTGCCACTTTGAACTGTGAAGGTCAGGATTTTATTTTTGCCGCTGACAGAAAACTATCTAGAACCTTACTGAAGATATGAACCTGGGTCTTCCTCAAGAAAGCTATGTTCCTTACTTTTTGGCCAGCTGCTCCTCAGCTATATGATTGGCACCTCTCCGTCTTTCTTTCCGGATGACAGTTCTTCTTCTTCTTTGTTCACTGGCTGTAAGCTCCGGCAGAAAGTCCTGGGTGTCCGTCTATGTGAACTTAAGCTTTGTGTCAGGGCCTGAGTTTTGCGTGTATATCCATTTGATTGACTTTTTTGTGCGCAGATGGTTGTACCTTGCCGCTTGGGCGCTTCGAAGGAAGTCCCCAGGTGGACTCCTACGACATGCTTGCTGGAAAGGCAGTGGGTCTAGTCTTGTTTTCCCTAGAATGAGACCCTGGAACCCACACCGGGGCAGACAATAGTGTTGTACTGTGTTATGAGGAGGTATGGGATTCACAGTCCATGGTGATGACGAGTGTGGCTAGCAAGACCCACCCATCTATATGTCAATCACCATAAATAATAATTTTTTTAAAAGGGATTTTACTATACAGAGTCTTAATAATACAGGTGGCTTCTGGGGACCCAGTCGATGCATGTCATAGAAGGCAGCTAAGTAGGGGCTTCTTACAAAGCTAGAGTGAATCTGTTCGAGAGGCAAGGAACCAGCAGTCTGCATACAAATAAGCCAGATGTGTAAACTATATGCAAACACAATTCAAGTTCTGGAACAGGACCAAAGTCGAGAAATGGATGATCAACCAAAACATTCAACTGGAATTTACAGCTCACGGCTGCATATGAAAAGAAAAACTCACCAATAGAATTTGTAGCCACACTGCGCGTGTATGCCAGCCTCTTCTCAAACCAAACAGAGGGCTCCACAAAATGTTCCATAAAAAAGTGATGAAACACCGGTTTAAACTTGGCACAGACTTCCAGGTAAGCTTTCAACTTCTGCTCAGATGTATCTTTCACCTTCTGAAAGAGGTTAATTTATATTTGAATACTAATTCTTCTTGATGCATGACAAGTTACGAGGGGGCTTCAAATGAAAATCTTAAAAATTAGAAAGAAATTACAGTAGCCAAGCCAGTGTCCTGTAACCTGTCAATATTGTTGTAAAGGATGTCAAAAGTGTTAAGCACATGACATCACAGCCTAGATGAATACAGTGAGGTCATAATAAAAGTTTAAAGATTGTTGTCCCAATTTTGACAAGCACTAAAGAGGAGCAGCGTTCTGTTTTCTGATTAAAAAAATAGGCTATCCTCCGAATAAGGGGCACATATTATGGCAGCCGCAAAAGCACCCTAACAGGGCCTCAGTCACATGTCACCTGTGGACTTCCAGCGACTACCGCCACTGCTGAGAGTATCTTCCACGCCGCTACGCGCGGCGTGGATTGGGGCTAAACTAGATGGCTGGGACTCACGAGCAGTAGCTTCTGCATCTCCTGCAGCTTCGCTCCTCAGTTCCAGCCCCGCCGCTACGCAAATTAAGTCCCCGGAAGTCCGCAATTTATTTGTGAGTGAGGCCATGTTTTTGGCCGCCATAATATGTGCCTGTTATTCGGAGGATAGCCCAAAAAAATATCAGTGAAGGGGTGAAACCTATAGATCCCTGTCACACTTATATAAAGCTTTCATTTGAATCCCTTGCAAATGTAGTCAAGAACCTTTGGGAGTGAGTAAACAATGTAGAAGCACAAATCAAATATATCACTACGGTCCAAAGGAAAGTGGTGAAATGGGAAGTAACCTGAGTGCAGTGCGTCTCCTTTAAGAATACAAAAGAAAAGAGGAGCTTTCATAGCACTAGGGAATCTGTGGAGGTCAAAAGAAATACTAAAATTGAAATGTTTAATTCTAATGTCAAATCAGTACTTTTGTATGGGGCGGAAACATGGCAAACAACTAAGGCAATTTACTAATAAACCACAGACATTCATTAACTGGTGCCTGCGCAAAATAGAGGAAATTCAATGGTATCTTAAAATCACTAACACGATTATCGACAATCTTCAGCTGTGAGTGTTATAGATGAGAGAACTAGAATTTAAAAATATCTTAGCCATAATAGATCAAACCTAAAACCCCCCCCCCGATGACCTTTTCTATGGCCTGCTCCAAAATGCCATCAATTCTTAGAACAGAGACACCCGCAGGAGACGCTCAGTTGAAACAGACATGAAAACTCTGTCAAACACAAACCCCCACACAGAAACAACCAAAGAACAAGAAATACAAAAAAGCCTACTCCGTCACTCACTAGCTACGAAAGACATGTGCAGAGACAAAATGTCAGGCCTTGAACCATCTTCCACATGGTATTCTGACACTCCTGGAAGATACAGTAACCTATGGGACAAGATCACGGGTCACGAACAGAAGGTCAAGAAATAAAGTGCGAAGGCATGAATGGAGTTTTGCGAACATCAACGTGAGTTTTACTCATGTTTTTTAAAGGGCAGTGAGTTTACCCCCCCCCCCCCCCCCCCCCCCCCCCCCTTTTTCCCCCCACTCAGAGAGCATTCTCACTGGAAAACAAAGAATAAGGAACTCACAGCAGCTAAGTGATCCCTACAGTTTTTGGCAGACAAGTCGTTGGGTCTGTATCTAAAGTGGGCACCATTAGAGCCAATCAGGTATTCACCCAAGGGTTTCGTCCCTTCGCACCACTGCAGCAGTCCACACTTCTGGCTTAGAGGAATCACCTACATTTAATGAGAGATAATACAAAAAATTATCAAACTGTTTCCAATCCACATTTCACAATCAACTTAAGACTAGACACTTCCTGTCCATTATCTGTTTCCTGCAGTACCACATGCTCTCAGAGTTTCTACTGTTCAGAAGTGTTATGGATATTTCCGCGACAGACCTCTTTGTTACAGATAGGTTTCTGTTTCTGTATAAACAACGGATCAACATCATGGCACAAGGGTGGTAGGCCATAAGTTTTCTTTTCTACTTCTAACTCAAGCTTGAGTCCAAAAGTAAATCAGCGCAGTGCACAAACTCCGTAGCATTGGTGAGTATCCTGAACAGATAAGTGACACTGTATAGTCTTGATTGTAATTGTATCACTGTCTGTTTGTGTCAAATGATGATAAAGGCTTTCTAGCAGCAATATGCATTTCATTGTTCAAGACTGTGGCACTGTGTAGTAGAGTAGCAGCTCTATTTCATGCTGTATATTTTTTTTCAAACGACAAGCAGGGCTAGTCAACCCACTCCCCCCAACACACAAACACAAAATACACATACACAATCAGGGATCCGCGGGGGTGTAGTTTAGTTGGCAGCTTTTCTCAGACATCTTATTCCACAGGTGCTTATTTTACATCTTGAAATGGACGTGCAAAAAACTGTATTTAAACCTCAAGTACCAAACAATGAAACATGTTATCTTTGTCTAATAGTCAGCATCTTCTTCTTCTTCTTCTTAGCGTCCACCGGCTTAAATGTTGGTGGAAAGTTCTAATTGTTTGTCCACTTCTGGACTTTTAGTCTTGTTTCAGAACTTGAGTTTTGCATGCACATCCATTTCGGTATCGGCATAGAAAAACAAACAAACAAGTGTCTGTCTTGTTCAACCAGTTTGACTGAGCGGCAATTATATCTGAGACCTGGTTCTTAGCTAATCAGATCTGATTTTTCTTTGTGACATATGGTTATGCCTGGTTTAGTTGTTCCTTGTTTACATGCACCACGCTGCCAGGTTCCGAGTCTTCACATCCATTTGACAGATCTGGCTTATTTATATGCAGGCTGTTGAATCGTCACCTCTTAAGAAGATGCACTCTGACTTCAAAGGAAACATCCCTAATTAGTCAACTTTTACAACATACTTTATGGGCTGGGTAAGGGAGGAGTGGATCTACTCTATTTTCCCCCCATAATGGGGTCCCAGAATCCATATGAGGATGTATATATCTAATGCAAATGAGCATATCCCATGTTTAATGAAGGCATACACAAGCATAAAACCAAATCAACTCAAGAAAAGTGAACAAATAACTGTCTGCGCAACCACTAGTAGTATCACCTGTTACAAGACCAAGAAGACGGTGCTATAGTGGACACATTCTGACAAGAGATGAACAAATAATCACCAAACAGGCATTCAAATGGGAAACAAGAATATGCATGAGAAACCCTAAGGTGAAAGCTAATGAGAGAAGCCAAAGGTGCTTGGGTGAATTCCATACATGATATCGATGTAATCCCATAGGACAGAACTGAATGGAGAAACAGACAGAACCCATACAGGGATTATGTGGATTCAAACTATGTACCTTTTACCCTGTAGGCCTGCAGTAGCACATGGCACCCACCTTGTAAGTCTGTATTTTCAGCTGTCTTCTAAGGGTTTCTTCATCTCCTGAAAGCAGTTCGTTCACTAGAGTGAACACCTGCTGCATGACTGCGTCCTGTCTTAAGTCATCTTTCCCCTGATTTATGGACACCATGAATTCATTAAGTCAGAGTAACATTTAACAATAGCGTAATACTACAGAGTGGGTAGATCAGTGCTTTAATCCTCTGAATAACTGAAACTGAGAGGCTTGCCCGTGTTCGTCTGCTACCTACATTGGTCTACTATCAAAAAGTCTGACCACCCCTGAAACTCAGAGTCACATCATGGATGGCAATCCTTCTTCAACTTCTCCTCCTCCAGTTTTCAAAATGTTGGAGGAAGGTGTAAGAATTTTGGTGGCTGCTATTTATAATGTGTTACATAAGTCAGTCTTTATTTCTTTATGGCTGCTCTTGTTGCCTGCATAGTCTTCCTTTTGTTCTCTGTTTCTCTCCTTTAATGTGGCTCTCTGTTGGCACCAGGGTATTCTGATCAGGAAATCAAACCAACTCATCTGTTGGTCTTTAATGAACTGTAAGAACTCTTCTTGTTTCTCTGGCAGCTAGCCTATGACATCTCACCTATAGTGCTTTCATACAGATACTTAACACACACAGATACACACACGAAAACACACATACATACACACACATACATACATACCTACACACATACATATATACATACATACATACACATACATATATACATATGAACACTTATACATACACACATACATACATACATACATACATACATACATACATACATACATACATACATACATACATACATACATACATACATACATACATACATACATACATACACACATACATATAAACATACATACATACACATACATATATACATATGTACACTTATACATATACACATACATACATACATAAGTGCATACGCAAAATGCAGTCTTACACAGATACACCTACATGCACACACTCTGCATACACATTAATACACTAAGAAGAAGCATGACCACACAAGATACTACCACGTACACGATTGGCAATGACACCAGATACTTCCATGTACACCCTACTGTCCAGGACTGGCAATGACCACCAGATACTACCACATATACCCAACTGTCCAGGACTGGCAATGACACCAGATACTACCATGTACACCCTACTGTCCAGGACTGGCAATGACACTAGATACTACCATGTACACCCTACTGTCCAGGACTGGCAATGACACCAGATACTACCATGTACACCCTACTGTCCAGGACTGGCAATGACACCAGATACTACCACGAATACCCAACTGTCCAGGACTGGCAATGACACCAGATACTATCATGTACACCCTACTGTCCAGGACTGGCAATGATATCAGATACTACCATGTATACCCTAATGTCCAGGACTGGCAATGACACCAGATACTACCACATATACCCTACTGTCCAGGACTGGCAATGACACCAGATACTACCATGTACACCCTACTGTCCAGGACTGGCAATGACACCAGATACTACCATGTACACTCCACTGTCCAGGACTGGCAATGACACCAGATACTACCATGTACATCCTACTGTCCAGGACTGGCAATGACACCAGATACTACCATGTACACCCTACTGTACAGGACTGGCAATGACATCAGATACTACCATGTATACCCTAATGTCCAGGACTGGCAAGGACACCAGATACTACCATGTACACCCTACTGTCCAGGACTGGCAATGACATCAGATACTACCATGTATACCCTAATGTACAGGACTGGCAATGACACCAGATACTACCACGTATACCCTACTGTCCAGGACTGGCAATGACACCAGATACTACAATGTACACCCTACTGTCCAGGACTGGCAATGACACCAGATACTACCATGTACACCCTACTGTCCAGGACTGGCAATGACACCAGATACTACCACAAATACCCTACTGTCCAGGACTGGCAATGACACCAGATACTACCACGTATACCCTACTGTCCAGGACTGGCAATGACACCAGATACTACCATGTACACCCTACTGTCCAGGACTGGCAATGACACCAGATACTACCACGTAAACCCTACTGTCCAGGACTGGCAATGACACCAGATACTACCACGTGCATACTGGCAATGACCCAGATCTACCACGTACTGTCCAGGACTGGCATATGACTGGCGATGACACCAGATACTACCATGTACACCCTACTGTCCAGGACTGGCAATGACACCAGATACTACCACGTATACCCAACTGTCCAGGACTGGCAATGACACCAGATACTACCATGTACACCCTACTGTCCAGGACTGGCAATGACACCAGATACTACCATGTACACCCTACTGTCCAGGACTGGCAATGACACCAGATACTACCACGAATACCCAACTGTCCAGGACTGGCAATGACACCAGATACTATCATGTACACCCTACTGTCCAGGACTGGCAATGACATCAGATACTACCATGTATACCCTAATGTCCAGGACTGGCAATGACACCAGATACTACCACATATACCCTACTGTCTAGGACTGGCAATGACACCAGATACTACCATGTACACCCTACTGTCCAGGACTGGCAATGACACCAGATACTACCATGTACATCCTACTGTCCAGGACTGGCAATGACACCAGATACTACCATGTATACCCTAATGTCCAGGACTGGCAAGGACATCAGATACTACCACATATACCCTACTGTACAGGACTGGCAATGACATCAGATACTACCATGTATACCCTAATGTCCAGGACTGGACACCAGATACTACCATGTACACCCTACTGTCCCAGACTGGCACACATCAGATACTGTATACCCTAATGTCCAGGACTGGCAATGACACCAGATACTACCACGTATACCCTACTGTCCAGGACTGGCAATGACACCAGATACTACCATGTACACCCTACTGTCCAGGACTGGCAATGACACCAGATACTACCATGTACACCCTACTGTCCAGGACTGGCAATGACACCAGATACTACCATGTACACCCTACTGTCCAGGACTGGCAATGACCACCAGATACTACCATGTACACCCTACTGTCCAGGACTGGCAATGACACCAGATACTACCATGTACACCCTACTGTACAGGACTGGACTGACATCAGATACTACCATGTACACGTCAGACTGGCTATTGACACCAGATACTACCATGTACACCCTAATGTCCAGGACTGGCAATGACATCAGATACTACCACGTATACCCTACTGTTCAGGACTGGCAATGACACCAGATACTACCACATATACCCTACTGTCCAGGACTGGCAATGACACCAGATACTACCACGTATACCCTACTGTCCAGGACTGGCAATGACACCAGATACTACCATGTAAACCCTACTGTCCAGGACTGGCAATGACACCAGATACTACTACGTAAACCCTACTGTCCAGGACTGGCAATGACACCAGATACTACCACGTACATGACTGGCAATGACACCAGAAACTACCACGTACATGACTGGCAATGACACCAGATACTACCATGTACACCCTACTGTCCAGGACTGGCAATGACACCAGATACTACCATGTACACCCTACTGTCCAGGACTGGCTATGACACTAGTCATGTCAATCCACAACCTTCTGTCGCCTGACTTCTTCTTCTTAAAATCTATGCCGTATGACGTTGGTAGTCATGTCTATCCACAACCTGTTGTCATGTTTACTTTCAATCAACTCATACAAAAATGATCCTCCATGTCATGATGTCAATCTGTTCAGCATCTTTCCTCCCTCTGCCTCCCCTCTAACTTTCCTACAGTCATGATGTACTCCAGTTTCATCCTTCTCATCACATGATCAAAGAATGCAGACTGTTTTTTTTTCCTGATGTGGGCAATCAATTTTCTTCCTGAAATAGTTTCTTTCAAGATATCCTCATTACTCTTTTTGTCTGTCCAGGGTATTCTCCTTACACATAGAGATAAAGGGGGAGACAACACATTCAAACCTTGACTAACTGAGTTCTCTCCCTTCCATCAGACCCGACACAGGTGATAATTTTGGGCAGGTTAATTCCTCCAGCGAGCCGAAAAGTGGTTCCAAACCGAGCAGGGGAGATAATGTTCTTGTAAGTACCTGTTGGGTCTACCTGCAATTAAGGAAAATGATGCTCTCATGTTCAGTTACCATTCAAACTAGATTCCCCTTGCGAGTTCTGGGACCTCATTGGGGTGAGGAAGGGGATCGACCCAGTGCTGTCTAAACGCATAGGTCCGCTAGGCACTTGCCACCCTAGAAGCATTTAAGGCAAGGAACCAACAGTCTACATACAAACAGGCATGTCTGTAAAACAGATCTGCATGCAAAGCCTAAGTTCATAGCCGAAGTCTAGAAGTTGATGAACAACCAGAAGTAAACAGAGTTTACATCCAGTGAATGTGAAGAAGATAGAAGAAGAAAGAAGTCAGAAGAAGAAGTCAGAAGAAGAAGTCAAAGAAGCAGCAGCAGCAGCAGCAGCAGCAGCAGCAGCAGCAGCAGCAGCAGCAGCAGCAGCAGCAGCAGAAGAAGAAGAGAAGAAGAAGAAGAGAAGAAGAAGAAGAAGAAGAAGAAGAAAGGAAGAAAAAAAGAAAGAGAAGATAAGAAGAAGAAGAAGAAGAGCAGAAGAAGAAGAAAGAAGAGAGAAAGAAGAAGAAGAAGAAGAAGCGAAGAAGAAGCAGAAAGAAGAAGCAGAAGAAGAAGCAGAAGAAGAAGAAGAAGAAGAAGAAGAAAAGAAGAAGAAGAAGAAGAAGAAGAAGAAAAGAAGAAGAAGAAGAGCAAAGAAGAAGAAGAAGAAGAAGAAGAAGAAGAAGAAGAGAAGAAGAAGAAGAAGAAGAAGAAGAAATTAGATTATCCACTGTTACATCTAACAAGGAGGGACCAGGCTACCATCTTCAGACTCAGAACACAACATATTCCACTCTTACGGAACACTCTTACGACCATAATGTCTTTGAATGTCCAAAATTCAGCGAGAATAGAAGAATGCTACTCCCTCCGATACCAGACAAGTAGAACATCTTGTATGGAGGAAAAGAACAGCTTGCGACACTGGATCGATACAACAATAACAACAACACATCTGCTTTAGCAATAAAAAGGTTCAACAGTATGAAGAGTTTATGGTACACAATCATAAAACAAATTAAAAAGAAAAATGGAGAACAAGCATCTTTCTTCAGGTTGAATGTGGATGTGAGTTGTGGTCGATACTTTATCTATATTTCTTGGTCTTCCGTGTTTTCTTTTCCCTTCTGGTGTCCATATGAGGGCTTGGTGAGGGGGTCTGCTCTTATCCATTCTGAGTGCATTGCTGATGTAGTTCCAACGGTGCTTTCTTATAAAACTGGATGCATTATCTTGTTTGGTCTCTTGTCTTATTAGATATTAAATCTGTCCAGTCGAGATTTAGTATTCTTCTAAGACATCTGTTCAAAATTTTTGAATTTTTTAAAAATCTGCTACTGTTTCTTTCCAACTCTCACATCCATAAGTTAGCACTGGAATCACACAAGCATTGAAGATCTTAAGTTTTGTGTGTTTGCTAAAGAAGACTGACAATTAAAGCAAGATTGCAGTAAGCAACCTACACAACTAAACAAAACAAAAACAAAAAAACTGGGATAACAAACAAATACCTTCAGCTCAACTGATGGCAGCGAAATATTGTCACAATCTGTAATTTTGAGAATTGCTAGTTCTTTTGGCAAAGGCTGTGGATCTGCAAATGACAACCAGTGTTAGAATGCAGATGACTGATAAATACATCTATCTATCTATATCCTCTTCAAGCGGCGTCCGTGGCTAAGGCGTTGCGAGTCCGACTCGTAAGCCAGCATAAACCCACTGCAGGCTGCGTGGATTTTTGTCGTGGTATGGGACGTCGCAGGTCGACCCAGCCTAAAATGGGTACCAGGATGGGCTGTCCTGGGAAAGTAAAGACAGCCGGCGTAATGCTGACCACATTACCTACAGAGTGCTGATGGTCTGTAAAAATATGGGACGCTCTGCCCGTATGCCCGATGCGCCGAAAGGCGTGAAAAAGGGAACTTTACTTTTTTTTTTTTTTTACTTATATCCTCTTCATGTCACTGTTGACACATAAAGCATTCAAAAGTGATCTTCATTACTGCCGGTCTGCTGCATTTCTGCCCATGGTATCCTATGTCAGTTTACATTCCTTTATTTCCAGTTCTGCTGTCCTTCTCCAGGTTTCCTTAGGTCATCCATGTCTCCTTTTTCCATCTGCTGTCCCCCGGAGAGCTGTTTTTGCCACAGTGTCCCAAGCCATTTTGCAAACATGTCCAAGCCATCTCCATCGTCTTACTTTGATAACATTTGCCAGTAATGCACATTTTTTGTTTTCTGATAAATACATAATAAATATATAATATTTTCCTAGAAACCTTGTTCAACTATATCATCAATCAATCAGGTGTCATCTCCACAGTGAAGGTTGACTGCAAGGATTTCCAACACACTCTTGTCTCTCTCTCTCCCCCTGGTTGTACACTTTATCAAACAACTCTTCGTCCATCTTGTGATGTTGTCCTCTCTCTTGTCTCACAGTCTAGATCTTGTCCTCTTGCCTTTGACATTTCATTCCTTCAGATTGTTTTTAACAGTGTCATATCTATGAAGGTAATGGAGGATGTAGTTTCTGGAAAATGGGGCAGAGGCTGACCTCCACAAAGGTGGATACAAGGCACCTAAGATGTAAAGGCTATAAAATTACATAGGGCTGAAGAATGAGCTATAAAACAAGAAACTTTCAGGTACGTCATGAAGAGAGCGACATTCTGCAGAGAACCTGTTGACTGAAAATAATGTCAAATCTTTTTTATGAAATTCAAATTTATTTGGTTTTTTTTTTTTCAACATCTGTCAGCAACTCTCTTTCTTTTCACTATGCCTCTCCAGAACTTTAGGAAAAGGTCAAAGCACATGAAATTTATGGGAACGCAATCAGAAGTGGAAAAGATAAACTGGAATTATGCAGGAATGTACTATGTAAGAAATATAATGATGGAGAAAAATGTACATGGAAAGCTGTATCAGGTAAGTGACAAACAATAGCAAATGCACATCAAACTGTATCAGGTAAGTAACAAGTAATAGTAAATGCACATCAACTTCAGCAAAATATTAGATCATAGAGGACTGAAGAGTCACTGATATCTGTTCCAACCAAGGTAACTGAAAAAAAAAAAAGGGAAGAGGATAATGAAGAAGAAGAAATAGGGGAAGAAGGTGAATGAAAAAATTAATGAAAAAAAGTGGAGGAAGAGGAAGAGAGGAGGAGAAAAGGAAAAAAGGTAGAGGAAGAGGGAGAGAAGAAAAGGAAAAGAGGGAAAAGAAGGAGAGAAAGAAGGAGAGAAAGAAGAAGCAGATGTAGAAGAAGAATAAGAAGAAGAATAAAAAGAAAGAAGAAGAAGAAGAAAATGAGAAGAAAAGGAAAAAGGAGGAGTAGGAGGAGAAGACAAAGAAGACAAAGAAGAAGAAGAAGGAGAGGAGAAAACAATGACAAAAAAAGAAGCAAGCTTCAAACTTACTTCTATTATTCTGGCTGACAACTGACCAATTAGCCAGTTCAATATAAGCAATACTGATTTTCTCCATGTTGGTCACAATACCTGCCAGCTTTTTATCAAAGCCATGCAGTTTTTCCAACAGGCCTTTGGCAGCCTGCACCCTCTCCTGTAAAAGAAACATGAACATACAAGCAGACACACAGACAAACAAACATGCAAGCACACAAACACACACATATAGCAAGCGACAGAGTACAGGACAGTTGAGGAAGAAAGAGAGGCACAGATAAGACAATTTAGAGTAGAGCGACACTGAGAGACAGCCTGGCAGATGAGAGAGACCAGTTAGATAGAAATGGAAGAGCCTGAAGATATAGACAGAAACTGGGGGTGAGGGGGAGAGGCTGAGACAGGCAACAGGTAGAAACAAATAGACACAATTTAAGTCAGATAAAAAAAAACACACACACACACACGCACACAGAGAGAGAGAGAGAGAGAGAGAGCGAGAGAGAGAGAGGGAGGGAGAGAGAGAGAGAGAGAGAGAGAGAGAGAGAGAGAGAGAGAGAGAGAGAGAGAGAGAGAGAGAGAGAGAGAGAGAGACAGAGAGATGAAACACAGAGGCAGAGAAAAAAAAAACAGCGAAGGGTTATTCAACAAAGTTTTCTCAGGGGCCAAACTTTTTTTAACTAGGATCGTCCGGGACCAGAGCCTCGGACTCAAGCAAAGAAAGATCTTTAATACACTACAACTGTCAATGATCAGCAGGCCACTTGCCCGGGATTGGCGGGCCAGATTTGGCAGGCAGACCGGTAGCTGAATAGCTAGGGTCTACACAGTGTGGTATTGGTAATAATGCCTTGTCCACAGTCTTCTGTCTTGTCCATTGTTAATCATGTTCTCTCTCTCTCTCTCTGTAGAGAGAGAGAGGGGGGAGGGGGAGAGAGAGAGGGGGGGAGAGGGAGAGAGAGAGAGAGAGAGAGAGAACAATAAATCTACACTTAACAACTGAAAATACTCCCCATGTGGGTTGCGGGGTCCTTTTGTGGGGAAAACAACAACAGACCCACTGCCTACCCAAAAGCATGTTATATGTGTCGACTAAACTGTGAGCTTTCTTTGAAGTTGGAGTGAATCTGCCTGAGAGGTAAGGCTGAATACACAAGAGTCACATCTGTAAAACGGATGTGCATGCAACACTCAGGTTTTGGAACAGGACAAGAGTCCAGAAGTGGACAAACAGCCAGAACTTTCTGCCAGTTTACAGCTGGTGAATGTTAAAAAAAGAAGAAGAAGAAACGTGAGAATCTATGTGTCTGTCAGTACACTTGTTTGTTACAGGACTTCCTCTCAAAACATACTGTAAATCTGTTGGGCAGGGCAGTGCAACTGCCCCGGTGTTGACAAGAACCTCTGGTGCACTAAAGTGGGCGCCAGGATAGAGTACTGGTTAGACCAGTGTTTCCTGTTGGCTAGGGTGGTAGCTTTGATGGTTACATTTGTGGAGTGGTGGAATGGCCCAGGAAGTGGTAAGAGCCTCAGATGCAGATAGAAGCAATGACTAGACATACATCAGCCGTGGAGACAAACATAAAGTAGAGGACACCAGAATAAAACTGTAGTTCACTATCCACAGGAAAAAGGGAGATGAATCGTCATAGACCACGAGGCAGACCAAGAAGACGATGGAGAGATAATGTCCAGACAGACCTGCAAATACTTGGTGTCACTAACTGGAAAGAGAAGGGCAACAAGAGAGAGGAATGGAAGCGGGTGATATCTGCAGCAATGAACCTCAAGGGCTCGGAATGCTAAAAAAAACAAAATAGAAGAAGAATCCAGAGGGAAGCTTGGTAAATAAATCTAGTACTGATTTAAATTAGAAGAAAAAAGTGAAATACAGCGAGTGCAGAGAAACAGAAAAAGAGTCTGAGATAGATGACAGAGAGAGAGAGCGAGTAGAGAGACAGAAACAGAGACAGGCTGAAACAGAGGAGACATGTGAAGGGAAAACGAGACAGGGGGAGAAAGAGGGAGAAAGGGAATGTAGAGACATAAACAGAATAAATTCCACACCTAAACATGACAGAATGGAAAATAAATGACAAAAGAATGGATCAAGCAAGTGTATTTTCACAAACTGACAAGAAAAACAATCTAATATTCCTCTTAACACTAGGGTATAAAAAAATGACACACAAAAAATTGACACTTTCCATTACCTCTTCAACTTTGTTGTCAACAGATGTAGTTTTCCTACGAGTTGTCCCTGCCTTCTCCTTATTGAGAAACTCATCATCTTTATATGCATGGGCCAGCGCAATGATGACCCACAGAGCATGGTGGGGGTGATCTGTGGCAACCTTTAGCATCAGCTTGTGAAATAAATAAACTAAGGTGGGGGTGATCTATGGCAACTTTTAGCATCAGCTTGTGAAATAAATAAACTAAGGTAGGGGTGATCTGTGGCAACTTTTAGCATCAGCTTGTGAAATAAATAAACTAAGGTAGGGGTGATCTGTGGCAACTTTTAGCATCAGCTTGTGAAATAAACTATGAAACTTAACACTGCCAAAAATTATTTGTAACAGCATGAACAATATGTTAATATGAACCCTTTTGCATTGGTAATGTTAAGAAAAGTAGGTCACGACCCTTGGGAATTCTCTAAAGATATCCTTTTAAAACAACAAAGGTCACTAATATGCTGTTAAAAATGTATGTATGTATGTATGTATGTATGTATGTATGTATGTATGTATGTATGTATGTATGTATGTATGTATGTGTGTATGTATGTATGTATGAATATATATATATATATATATATATATATATATATATATATATATATATATATATATATATATATATATATATATATATATATATATATATATATTATATATATATATATATATATATATATATATATATATATATATATAATGTAAAAAAAAAAAAATTTGATTCCCAAAATATATAAAGATATATAAACGGAGAAATCATTAATCATGAACAGAATGAAGCGTTCAGTAGAATAGTCAATCAAGAATATATGTGTCGGATGACTCAGGCAGTGACCCTGTAACCTCATTCCCTGAGGCTTACAGGAAAATTTGACATTAACCTAGCTTTTGTAAGAAACCATGTGGTTTTAAGACCCCCCCCCCCCCCCCCCCCCCCCCTTCGTCCCCCAATTTACCACCCTAAATGCTATTTTTTTTTAATTAACATATTTGCATCCATGCCCAAATAGCAGCAAGGTGTGACATTTGGTAATCTGTTAACTCTTTGAGTCCCAGGGGGTTTAGCATCACAGGCCCAAGGGGTATTCATGCGTTCATTGGGCCTCTAGGTAGGAATCTGTGAACTTATGATGCGTTCCTTGGGACTCAAAGAGTTAATGCAAAGAGTGGAGAAATACGAAGCCCATACATTTTAAATAGAACATCACGCAAAATGCTTTCCTCTCAGATCCACTGCTTGTAAAAATTTTAGTTTGTAAAAAAAGTTTAAGTAATTAAAAATAGCCAATTTCTTTTCAATTACCTTGTATAATCATAGTCAACTAAAGTAACCAACACCTTCTACTCCATTGTCACATTGGGAATATGGTGGTGGATTCATACATTTATAGACAAATCGGCTCTCGACAGATGACGCAATCAGCATTGCACCAGCCATCTTTAGTTCCCAGGATATGCATTTTACGATGGGTCAAAGTGGAGGTCAGGGTCAATTCATAAATACTGAATTATCCTTAATATTAATTAACCCCAAATACAGTTTAAAAAAAAGGAACTAGGGTAAAAACCTGCATTATCAAATCTCAGACACTGATATGCTAACAGATCGGCCACCTGCTCCTGTCCATCTACATATGAAATACAAGCATGTTAACAGATCAACCACTTACTCTTCAAAAAACAGCAATAGATGATAAACCTGCACTTCTAAATCTGAGATACATTCTAACAGATCAACCATCTACTCTTTTAAAAACACTAACAAAAAAAGTATCATATTTCAAAAAGACAAATGATACATCTCTAAATCTGAGATAAAGCATTCTAATAGATCAGTGACTAGCTTCTCTTCAAAAACTAACAGATGATAAATCTGCCCCTCTAAAGCCGAGAAAAAAGCATTCTAGCAGACAGACAAAGTATCTCTTTAAAAACAACAAGAGATGAGACTTTGACTTTCTATATCTGAAATACAAGCATTCTCACAGACCACAAACTCTCTTTTCAAAAACAATAAGAGATAAGAATTTAACCTTCTATATCTGAAATACAAGCATTCTAATACAGACCACAAACTTTCTCTTTAAAAACAACAAGAGATGTGTAGTGAGTCATTTTCTTCCCATTAATTCATGCTCGATAGATGACGTCAGTAATAAATGTAAAACGAATGTTTTGACTGACTGAGATAACACGAGATTTATGTCTTGAGTTTCATGAGAGACATCTGAAAGTCAGGTTTTATGTGAAACATGATTGTTCACGTGAACCATGAAGGTTGACTGGCAGGATTCGTGTGAAATGCGAATTATCACGGGCCAGACACGACTTTCAACGGTGGGGAATTCGCGAGAATGAAATTATCCAGAATATTCGAGAACAGGACAGATCAGAGGGCTATATAATAGCGAAGAAAAGGTTTGTGAGGCAGTCTCGTTTAGGCCAAGGGAAAGGTGTACGTGTGAAAAAGTTCGGAAGAATGTTGACGTCTGAATAGCGTGATTTCCCAATGCCTACCTGGCATAAAATAGCGGCTGACGGAAACGGTGGCCAGCTGTGAATGACTGTCGTTCTGGATGGAGGGAGCTACTGTGTTTCTTTGAGTTGTGTATATATTCTACGATGTTACAAAGGTATGATTGACTGTTTAGAGCATTGAATAAGTGATCGATGAGTGCTACGGTTGTGTATAAACATTTACTGACTGCAACATCAGCGAGTGAAAATAAACAGTACGTGTAACTTCTGAACGTCTGCCAGCGTCCATGTTTTCTCGTTCTTGTCAGTTGGTGAATGGAAAGATGCGGTGACTCATTCGAGCCAGCAATTAATAACAATGAAGATCACTGCAGAATGGGGAACTCGTCCAAACATTTGAGGATAGGAAAGTTGTTTCGTACAGTAAAATCTGAGACATCGAAATGTGTTTAGTTATCAACCTGACGTCAGGTAGTACCAGTTCAACATAAGAACGTAAGCGGGGAAGATCGATGGCGACATAACAACAACCCATATTCGATAGTTCACAGATTGAACAACGTTCGGACAAATTCCAGGCTTTGAATACTGATAGACAAGTCCACGTTTTAAGTTTCGACCAAGTAATCAACAATCAACAAAGATGCAAAGGAAAGATTGCAGACAGTGACAGTGTCAAAGAGCAATCATTAATGTTAGCAAAGGAATACAACAGTAAGTCTACACAGAGATGATGTGAGACTAGGGCTGCCCCTCTGCAAAACTTCCGAAGCCTTGTTGTTTGATCAAATTTTGCTGCCGACTAAAGTGTGGTAAAGTGTAGTGGGAAATCTACACTGAACAACACAGAGAAGCGTCGACACCAGATCCTGTTTTTCGGATCTGTTTTTTCAAAACATAGAAAGACAGTGAAACACCGGGTAGAGTGTTAACTGTACGGAAATCAAAAGAACCACAGCTCTGACACTGGGTGTTTGTGTCGCAGCTCTACATTTTCAGCCGTGGCAAACCATTTAATAGGAAACTACAGTATGAGAAGCCTACAATACCTCAAGATCAGCACTCATTGATGTCTCGTGATCAATAATGCTTCAAGTTCATCGTATAATCATCTAAAACACAGAAAGCAATAATAATAAAGCTTTCCTACGTCCTAAGCACATTCAGTCGACAGGAAAAGCATCAAATTGGTCGGTGCAAATCTAAGTATCTACCAGTGAACTATTTAAGTATCTGCAGTTAACAATGTACTATTGAAGTGTGTATCTACCAGTGAACTATTTAAGTATCTGCAGTTAACAATGTACTATTGAAGTGTGTAGCTACCAATGAACTATTCAGTGATCAATATCCAGTTTATGAAACCGATAGTACAGTGAACAGTACCACAAACAGTATGCAGTTTCTGTAATAAATGCTTCACTGAACAATTGCTTAATCAGTGTGCATTCAATGCTAAAATTAATAGTGTGAACAGATAAACTGTGCGGTCATAATTAATTTCAGTGCCCAGTTGATGAAATTATTACTATGGTGTTTTAATTTTAATTAACCCTATCAAATTAATCATTTCTTCAGTATTTTAAAAGTAGCAGTAACATATTCAACGGACAAGCTTCAACGAAACAACCTTCAAGAAAGCAACAGCCATCGCAGAACCAGCTTCAGGTCAACTTCAGGACAGTCAACTAGATCAGCACAACAATATACAGCATTGATTATTAATTTTATTTTTGATTTATTTTTCTGGTGATTCAGTTATTTATTATAATTATCAATATTATTTATTTATAATTTACATTGGTGCATTCATTGACATTTATTTTATACTATTTATATTATTACATTGGTGTTTTTATATTTTTTGTATTTTCCTTATTATATTTACATTACTATTTTTTTTATTTTTTTTATTTATAAATATTGCATTCTTTATTGAAATTATTTCATTTATATTTATTTATAATTTTTAAATATTGGCATATTCTTACATATATTTATTCTATATATCAAATATAAATATTTTTAAAATTTTCATGTGGGTGTTGTTATATTACACGAAAGTTCAGTACCACCATCATCAGGAAGTGCCATAATTAATCATACACACATCATCATTATCAAGTGTCAAAGTTATTTCAATTTGAATTTAACATTTGATCTACCCATTCACATTTTATCATCATCAAGTGTAACCACTATAACAAAAGTACAGTTGTGGGTAATAGAAATTGTATTGTATACCAAAAATAATAAGTTAATCATTGGTTGATTGGGGAAAGATCATTGTAATATTATTTGGTGATACACTCATTGATTCAACACTATATCTTTATTTAATTTGTATTGAATAGTATTATTGTTGATTTCTAATATAGACTAAAGGTATTGGTGGATAAGAATTATTTTGTTACAAGTTTCTGCATATATATTGTAACTGAGTTTTGCTTCATTGAAAGCGAATTTAATAAGCATCATACTGAACAAGTGTATTTAGTAGTTATTACGTGAAATAATTTAATTATTTGAGACTATTAGTGATTACTCTATCACAGTCGATTATCAAGACTAATTCAATCAAATATTTTTTTTTTTTATTAGAAGAGTATTTAATTATACCCAGACTGTGCGGCCATTAAAGACAATTT